CCGAAACCAGGCGGCGGCGGCCAGCCGCCCCTCCGCGCAGGTGCGCGCCCGCTCCCGCTGCGGCGCCCGCCCCGCCCGCGCCCCGCTCGGAGCAGGGAAGTCGGTGCGGCCGACGTGGGGACCCGGCCTCGCTTAGCGGGGAGGCGCTCCGGTGCCCCGGCTGGCCCCCCACCCCCAGTTCACAGGTGAGGAAACTGAGCCTGGCGGGGGAACGACTCTCCGCGGTCGCCAGGCTCCCGGGCCAGGGACGAAGTCTGGGGTCTCCGGAAGTGGGAGGACTGGCACTTAGCGTACTTTGTGACTGATTTCGAGAATGTTTTGAAGAGGGTTCACCTTCGTGCTTTGGCTGCGGTGTGCAGCTCGTCCGAAGCCCCAGGTTTGGAGGCTGGCTTTGCTGCATGAATGCGCCTAAAACCTAACTGAGAAACAGAACCAGAGGTCCCCGAGGCTCACTTTAGCGGACACTGCCCCCTCCCCCTTATGCCTGAAGGTGTCTGCACACCTGTGGCCCAGGCCAGGCTCAGGACTGGGCTCTTCGCACGGGTGGAAGCGGGGCCTGGAGGAGCCCCCCGCTGGGTGCTGCCAGTCCTGCTTAAAACAGTCCCCACCCTGGGGGCCCTGGCGGGCAGCTCCTTCTCAAATGGGGAAACTGAGGCCCAAGGAGGCAAGTTGCCGGCAGAGGAGAGGTGCTTGGCTCTAGGGGCAGCCTGGCCTGGTGAGGTGGGTTTATTTTCTTTGACTCCCTGTCCCCCTAATACCGAATTTGGTGCTTGTGACGACCGAGTGAGTGTTGCCCCACTGCCGGGGAGGTGAGTGTTGACCAAAAGAGGTGGAGAGACTTGCACAAGACCAGCCTAGGACGGGGAAGGGGAGGCCCTGATGTGTCTGCATACAAAAGACGGTTTGCTGAGAATCCTGGGGGTGGGGGGTGGGGCCTCAGAGGCCAGTCCCCGCCCTCAGGCTTTCCCCGCCTCCCATCTTAGGGCTCAGACTCCTCTGGCCGCCCTGGGGGTCCCAGCCCATTAGCCCTTCCCCAGCATTTGGGGTTGAAAGACACCTCTCACCGGGGATGTGTGGCTCTGCTTCTGGCCTCAGTTTCCCCCACGTGCTTAGTGGGCACTGCATGCCTGTCCCCGGCCTTGTGGACCAGTCAGGGGGAGTCAGGAAGGCCTGTGCACCCCCCACCCCCGCCACAGTTGTTCTGCTCCAGGGTAACACAGTCACCCCAGACCCCACCATCCCCCTGCCCCATGGCCCCAGTCTTTTGAGCTTGAAATGTGTACCCACTTGTCCCTGTGGGGTTGTGACAGTTTGGCACACGCTACAACCTAGCAGTGGGGGCGGGGGGCATGTTTTTCCTTGCCGTGGTAAAATGGACGCATCACTCTGCTCTTCCAACGTCTAGCCGCACGGACCTGGCGTCCCGGGGTCCACGTTCTTACCTCTTCGCCCAGGTGTGGCTGGTGAAGGGCAGAGGCTGGCTCACAGCAGGGGTTAAGTGTTTGTTGAGTGGAGGCCGGGTGCCCAGCTCTCCATGGAGGCCACCCTTCCGCTGCCCACAGGCCCCCGCCGGCCCTGGCCCGCATCCCGGGCTGCTCCAGCACTCCCTGATGGGGGAGATTGTGCAGGAACGCAGCCCTGCGGGAAGGACACGGTTCCAGCAGCCAGAGGTGACCCCCTCCCACTTCTGGAAGGGCCTTGAAGGAGATGCCTGGGAAAGGGGCTGCAGGAGGACCCGGATGATGAGGGCGTGCCAGGGGCGTGACTCCTATATCCCTGCCCCACCGGTGATCTGCGCCCACTTCACAGAGGACAGACCGAGGCCCAAGGGGAGTGGTGGGAATTCAAGTGTGGCCTCCTTGTTCCGAGGTCCAGCCCCGCCTTCTGCCTTCACGTTCCTTCCCCCGCCCCTGGAGCTTTGGGTGGCAGCTCTTCCTGGGTGGGAACCAGCCTGGGTCTGCTCTGAAACACACTGGGGATTCCGCCAGTGTGGGCTGACCCACCAGCTGGGGGGGGGCGTGCCGGGAGACCCCGTCTCCACTGTGGCCGAGGCCCGAGGCCCGGGCCTGCCCTCGGAGGGGACAGGAGACGTGCTCAGAGAGGGCGAGTATCTAGCCTGAAGACACACAGCCGGGGCTGTGGGCCCCCCCCACGTGTGGCTGTCCCCCCCTGCTGGGGTCTTGGGGGTCCCACCCTCCACAGAGCACATGCCACCCTTTGAACTCGCCTCCTTGGGTTTCCCTTTCCGTTTGGGGGAAACCCAGACGCAGATCAAGGAAGCAACTCTCCAGTGTCGCAGGGACCCAGGCCGGTGGTGAGCGGGCCCAGCAACCTGTCTCCCCATCCCAGTCCCAGTGCACCTCTTCCCAGAACGGAAAAAAGTAACTGATTTACCAGGTCCTGGGGGGGGCGGGTGGCGCGGGGAGGTCAGGGTTTGAGGGCTATGTGGGCTCCGGGAAGGAGGAGGACGGAGCAAGCAGGCCTGCGGCCCAAGGTTCCAGATAAAAGATTAACAAACAGACTTGTTCTCCACCCTGCTGGCCATGCGGGGCTGGGCTGGGGAAGCACGGTGGCAGGCCCTGCACCCCCCCCCCCATGAGAGGGAGCATCCTCCTGGACCCGTTGGGGCGGGAGCTGGGGACAAGGGGCGTTCCAGGGCAAGTCTGCCCTTCACCGTCCAGGGAGCCCCTAGGGTTTGGTTTGGGTTTGTGTCTTCTTTGCAGTGAATCCATTTACTTTGTTTTTCCTGCTTTAAGATTTATTTGCACCTAGTAAAAAAGAGGTCGTACAAAAAGGCCACGAAAGGCCCAAGGAGCAATGCACCCACGGTTGAGGGGTGCATAGGTCCAGCCAGAGAACGGCTGGGGGGGTGCAGCGCCAGGTGTCTGGGCCAGCCACAGGTGGGAGGGGCCTGGAGGAGAGGACAGCGTGAGGGTGTCCTGCAGGATGCCCGGGGGCAGCGGGGTGTCTGTGAGGGTTTTCAGCAGCGACAGGAGAAGGTGGGATTTGCCTCTTAGATATCAAGGGAGGGGCTGTTGGGAGCCAGTGATGGGGTCTGGGGTCTCCAGGACGGGGAGGGGTCAGTAAGGGCTGTGAGCAGAAGCTGGGTTTGCCGTGTCAAGGGCCATGGTGTCAAGGGCCCGCTGGCCCATCCGCCGGCCGTGGTGATTCCTCAGGACGTCTCTGGGAGGGGGTCTTGGGTGGACGTGACTACAGCCCCCGCAGCCCTTTGGCACTCAACCACCTCCCTGCCCTGGCTGTGTGTCACCAGTTCTGTGGAAGGGTCTTGTGGGGACCCTGCCAGTGTACACGGGGGACATCAGTTTCCTCATCTGGAAAATGGGCTCAGCCCAGAGATGTGTTCCCTGGCCTTCTGGGCCCACAGAAGGGATGCTGGAAGAGACCCATAGGAGCCTGGGGGTGTCTGGGGTGCCATGGGCTGGGTGCTCAGAATGAGGCATTGAGCCCCCTCCTGGGGAGTGTTTCTGAGCTCAGGCACTGCTCTGAGGTCTCCCTGGGGTGGCCTTACTCTTCTCATGACCCTTGCGGGGGGGGGGGGGGCAGTTCACCCTGTTTTGCAGATGGGGAAATTGAGTCTGAGCAAGGTGAGGCCTAGGTCCAGGACTCAAGTCAGACCCAGTGGAGAGGGCCTGAGGTTTGGGGGCTGGGGGCTTCCCAGCAGGGGCAGGAGCACCTT